AAGAGCTGAATAGTTCACAAAGTCCTGAACAATTTACCAAGCTTCACACACTCTAGGAGGAAGGTACTGTACTTATTTCCATTTTATAGGTGAGAAAATCAAGGCCCAGGTACTTGTGGGTACTTGCTCAAATCACAGACCTAATAAACATCAGAATTAGAATTAAGCCTCAGTATTCTGATTGCAGAGTCCATGACCTGAACTTTTGTGGTCTTCAGTCTCTTGTAGGATAGATCAGCACCTGTGGGGATGTGGAGTGATATAGCCCCGCTGGGGACCTGGGAGAATAGACAGATATAGGCTGAGCATCTCCTGGGGTGATTCCCACAGGTCTCCCAGCTCTGTACTTCCCACCCCACTTGGCTCTCTACAGCCGCACCAGCTTGGGTTGGATTGACTGTGAAAAACATTTCCAACATTTCTAGTCTGGATGGGCAAAATCAGTCTAAACTCTCTAAGGTTTGGCCGTGTACCAAGAAGATCCCTTCAGAGATTATTCTGAAGCTAGCATTCTGTTCTCTGGGATGACGGTTATTTTAAAAAACCTTAAGTAGGTCATTGGTGGTGCCATGTGGTGCCTCCAACCTTGGCTGTCCACTAAAATCAACCCCAGGAGGTTTTTAAATGTCTCCATCTCCAGGCCACAAGTTGACCAATTGTGTCAGAATCTCTAGAGGTCAGACCCAGGCGTTAGTAATTTTTAAAGCTCCCCAGAGGAGCCCAAGCAGCCATTGAATTTGAGAATCACAGTCCCTCGTTACACAAAGAGTAGACCAGGGACCCACAGCATCAGCCTCCCAGGAGGCTGTTAGAAATGCAGAACCTCAGGCCCCACCCCAAACCTGCTGATTCAGAATCTGCATTTTCATAAGGCTGATTTCTGTCTGCATTAAGATTTGAAAATCACAGCTCTAGAATCACACTAATATTGTGGCCACTAACCATGAGTGCTCATTTGCAGCTAGTGACCCCCGTATTGAACAGCACAAATAAAAATCATTGAATCATTGCAGAAAGTTCTGTTGGACTGCACTACGTAAGAATATTCTGGAAAGAGGTGGTAATCAGTCAATCTTTTTCCTTTGGATGCTATAGGCATACCAATAAAGAAACAATGCTTGTCCTTTGAAAGGAACAAAATTGGGATACACTCAACTGGGCACAAGAGGGGACCCAGGTATCCTCCTCTTTTCAAAAGCTCATTTTACACTACTTTTTACAAAACACCTACATTGGTACTTGTTTTGGGTAACTGAATGAAATCCAGAGAGGATTTTTGCTTTAACCAGAAAAGACTGAAAGTCAGAATAGAGTTCAGGGTTGGTTTTGAAGTGAGTTGTCTTAGAGGCAGCATGACAGACACCACCCAGCTTTTTCAGGATCCACACTCAGCATCTCAGCATCAGGCCACCATAGCTTTGAACTACATTAATGAGCATCTGTGCTTTATCTTAACTTACCTTGTGCATCCATTATCAAGATGTGTCCTGAGGTAATTGCTTCTTTACTTTACAGTCAGTTCAGCTTAGGAAAGCTTCATTCTACTTTCAGATAGTGGGGGAAACCTGTAAATCTAGATGATTTAGTTTCTGTTCATTTTAAATAAAGCAAGAACACAACTTCATCTTCCCAAGCCTTGGGTGAGAGCAGTTTGTGGGGGTGGGGAACATAGGAGTAAGGGAGAGAGGAGAAATGTGAGAAGCAAGATTGGTTTCAAACGTAGAGCAGAATGCGGGGCAGTAAGCCCTGGTCCCCACCCTCCCCTGCTGGTCACCGCCAGGGCAGCAGGAACACACTCGGAAACTAGATGTGACTGATTGTGCCAATATGAAAAGCAGGCATTCTGTCAGCTAACAGATAACCAAGTTACAATGTGACATGGCTGGGGGCTTAGCTTGTTTTTCTTTGAGGAGTTTTTGTTGCAGAAGGAAATTCAGTCTCTTTAGCAAAATCCTTCCTTTCGGGGGGAATGGCCACTGATGTTTCTCCTGGAAGACTGGTGGCTGAAAGCATGATGTATAGTGCAGCTAGTGCTGAGCAGAACCATAATAACAGAGCATCCAGCAGTGGAGAGTGATGAGAATTTTCCTGGGAGAAAGTTGCTCACTAAATGTCAGGTACCATTCTAAGCATATTATGTGTATTAAGTTATTTAATCTGCATAACAACTGCATAGGATGGATAGGTATTATGTACGTCCCCATTTTACCCAAAAGGAAACTGAACACAAGATCTTAGAGTTAGTAGATGGCACAGCCAGGACTTGAACTCTGAGAGCCTGTGCTTTTTGGTACCATACGGATAACCCGAGAGACCCCTAAGGTCTCAGCTGATCACAAATACCACCCACAGCCCACCCCTCATTGACCATAGTACCTCTTTACATGTACTGTCTCATTGCATGTTCTTAACAGCTGTTATAGGTGGATACTCTTATTCTTGCCATTTAATAGATTAGGAAATTGGAACAAAAAAAGCAAATAATAATTTGTTCAGAGTGTTTCAGTTAAATAAGTGGTTAAGTCAAAATCCAAATCCAAGAGCCTGAGCTCTGCACTAATGTGGGTCACATTTTTTGAGCAAAGACCTTGTGTCTCTCAAAGGTCCTCTATGAAAATGAACCTCAGTTGTATAGGACAGGCATGACTCTTTTTATTCAGTCCCAGGCAAGAACACCTAAGTGGGATGCCATTTCCTTCTCCAATGCATGAAAGTGAAAAGTGAAAGTGAAGTTGCTCAGTCGTGTCCGACTCTTTGCGACCCCATGGACTGAAGCCTACCAGGCTCCTCCATCCATGCAATTTTCCAGACAAGAGGACTGGAGTGGGGTGCCATTGCCTTCTCCGTATCTAGTGACTGGAGCTGCCCAATTAAGTAGATACATGCACACTGATCCCTTTAACTTAGATTTCTCTAAATTCTATCTTCTGGCTGTCTTTGAACAATTCCTGCTCTGTCTATCTGGTCTCACTCACTCCTGGGTGTTAATATCCCCATATTTGGATGAATCTCAAACCCACGTCTTCAGCCCAGACTTGGCTTCAAGTCTCCATTGCTTTAGTTCCACCTGCTGCCAGGACCTCAGCACCTGGATTCTCCCTAGTATAGCAAAGGCTGGGGTATTCACCCAGATCCCACTGGATCGTTTTCACCCCCATTTCTCAGCTGCTGCCTGCACTGTTGTAGCTGAAGGCTCTCACCTGCAACCTCCCCCAGAGACTTGCCCTTGGGCAGCAGGGGCTGCCTCACTGTGGGTTGCCTGCAAGTCCCATAAGCCCCACCTTCACTTGACCTAGACACGGTAAAGAGATTTGAGGGGTTATGGGCAGGGCATTGGTGGTGTCTGTTCCATGAATCTCATGCACATTCCTTAGATTAGCAATCACTACCTTCCTGTGTGCATGCTAAGTTGCTTTAGTTGTGTCCCACTCTTTGCAACTCTATGAACTGCCAGGCTCCTCTGTCCATGGGATTCTCCAGGCAAAAATACTGGTGTGGGTTGCCATGCCCTTTGCCAGGGGATCTTCCTGATCCAGGGGTTGGATCCACATCTCTTACATCTCCTGCATTGGCAGTGGGTTCTTTGCCACTAGTGCCGCCTGGGAAGCCCCCACTACCTCCCTGTGCTGTTCTTAGTAGCTCAGTCTTGTCCGACTCTTTGTGACCCCATGAACTGCAGTCTGCCAGGCTTGTTTGTCCATGGGGATTCTCAGGCAAGAATACTGGAGTGGATGGCCATTCTCTTCTCCAGGGGATCTTCTGAACCCAGGGATCGGACGCAGGTCTCCTGCATTGCAGGTGGTTTCTTTGCCGACTGAGCCACCAGGGTGTAAAGGCTATAGCCACTGGCTACAAATCTTTGCTCCTGGTCAAGCACAGAGAAACTCCACATTCCTCAATATGGAGGAATATTGCTCTGCCTTTTGGACTTCTTACTTCTGCTCACTGTGGTTCATGTGCCTGGAATGCTACTCATCCTTTGAAGGCCAATGACATTGCCTCTTAGCCTGTGAGGTAGTCCCAAATGATGCTTGCCTTTGCCATGTGGGTGATGGTTATATATGAATGGATCTCTAGTCATCATGGTGGGAAATGAATCTGATTCATCTTAGTTGTCTCTAAGCGTTCTAGGTTGAATCTTGCCCCCACTAACAGCCGTCGAAGTCTTAATCCTCAGTACTGTGACTTTGACCTTATTTGGAAATGGGGTCTTCTCAGATGTAACAAGTTAAGGTGAGGTTTTTAGGGCAGACCCTAATCCAGTGTAACCGGTGTCCTTGTAAGAAGAGGAGTAGAGACACAGAGACAGACTCGCACAGAAGGAAGGTGACATGAAGTCAGAGGGAGAATGCTGCCTGACAACACAGGCAGAGACTGATGATGTGCATGCCACCCAAGTCAGGGTCAGGATCCCTGGCAGTGCCAGAATCTAGGAGAGAAGCATGCGGCAGATCCTCCCCTAGCATGGTCCTGCCAACACCTTGATTTCAGATGTCTAGTCTCTAGAGCTATGAGAGCATACATTTCTGTTATTTTAAGATACCCAGTTTGTGGTGCTTTGTCATGGCAACCCTGGGAAACTACTACGTTAAGTATGTGACACAGTGCCGTCCTCAGAGAAGGACACCGACAAAGCCCTGAGAAATTAAACTGGTGGCAGTTGATTTCTCTCACTGCTTGTTTTACAGACTCTAACATTGATGGCAACATACCTTGGCAAAGCTTCTAAACCTCTGGTTTGTCATTCCATACTTAAATGCCACCCTTTCCTACCAAATACCCTTACCAGTAAATTCCATGTATACTGGATTTGTGAGGGAGAAGAAGGCTTACACTCTAATATATTAGTTATGTTTTGCTGCATACCACGTCACTCCAAAGTACAGGGGCTTCAAACAGTAAGAATAATCACTCCTTATTTGTGGCGTTTCTGTGGAGTGGCTTGGTTTGGAGATTCTGACTCAGCATCTCTCACAAGGTTTCCATCTCGTATCACCCAGGGCTGCAGTCACCCAAAGGCTCAACTGAGGCTGGAGGATCCACTTCTAAGGTGCCTGGAAGACTGGTTCATGGTAAGTGCTCTATAAATAAGTAAATGAGATTTGTAACAAGAAATATATGAATAGGCAGTAAGTTTGGGAAATGAGATTCCTCAGGTCCTTGGATGACTAAACTGGGTATATAGTTTATTATGTAGACAATGGGGAGTTTGAGGCAGAAATCAAAAAGAAGCATATGTTGGAGACTTATGAGATCAGTATGACAACAGAGTATTATATTACCTATATATTATAGGTTGTAGAATTCAGCAGCCTTGAACATCAGAATCACCTGGAGAGCATGGTAAAACACAGGTTACTGCAGCCCACACTCTTTCTCTTTCGGACTCAGTAGGTCTGGGATAGAGTCCAAGAATTTGAATTTCAAAATACATTCCTAGGTGACTCAGAGGCTGCTAGTCCAGGGGCCATACTTCCCGGGAGGGAGGAAGAGAGAGAAGAAAGACTAGCGTGACCTTTGGCTGATGACTAAGTGCCAGATAGACAGCAGACTGTCTGTGGGCACTGTGGTGAATGACGGATAATGCAGGTAGTTCGATAGAGCTGCCAAAAGAAATAGCTGCAAGAATGGCAAGAGATTATGGCATTGGGTGCCTGTGCTTCTTTTAGGGTAAGCCTCTGTCATTAGAGAACGCGCAAAACCTTGGCTTACAAAGCCAGTAGATAATGGAATTGGAGAATAAGCTTTCCTGCTTTGTCCAAGTTGAGGATTTCTGTTCACTAATGACTACTTGAGGCCAGGGGCTAAAATGGCATAGATGAGTTGCAAGATTGTACCATACATAATGCTGGTAAAACCATTTGAACCCACAGGTTCATTAAATGTTGAGTTGAGTCTAGGATGGTAGGAGTAAGACAGTCTGTCTTCCATGTATTTTCCTTAGGACCCCAAGGTGAACATTTGTTGTTTCTTCCACACAGAAGTCTTTCCTCCTTTGTATTTGTACCTGCACTCTCCTGTCATCTTCTTTGGGAATTGCTTGTCTTCATAGAGTTCCATATAATACTTGTCAGGCTGACAGTCTCCTTAGGTCCTCTCTTTTGGCCTCAGGGGCAGGCATGGGATTGAGGTCTGGCCAGTCAACAGTGTCCCCTCCCTGCATCCTAGTCATTGGGCTAAGAAGTCATGTGACCTGGCACAGCCTATCTGAGTCCTCCTCTTGGTCTCAGAAGAGAGAACTCTTTTTCCTCTGAAGATGCAAAGATATGAGGATATGAGTGAAGCATGCAGCTCGTCCAACCCCCAGACATGAATGAAGCCCTCTTGTCATGGAAGAGAATGAGCCCTACTCATAAAGGAAAAGAGAAGCTGAATTTTGGAGAGAGAGAGATCCTTCTTACTTGTACCACTAGAATCCCAAAGTCAGTACCGCATGCAGTGTTTCATTTGCATGTGTCAAAAAAAATTCCCTTTTTAACTTAAGCTTAAAGCTTGTTTCTGGCAATTTTAGCTATAAGAATCTGAACAATCAAGTCCATTTAGCCACCTGTAACCTTCTAACTTCTAGAAATTGGCTGCTGCCTGGGGAAACTGTTAATCCCATACTCAGATGCCTACATCAGTGCTGCAGGAGTTCTTTGGAGATGTCTAAAATTTCAGGGCATTGTCCCTATAGGAAACATTGAGTATACACATTTGGTTTGGAAAAGCTAAACAGAAAGAGGCAAAGAGAGAGAGAAAAGCTTGAATCAGTCTATTTAGGAGAGAAAAAAGGAAGGAAAAGTGGTAGAAGACACTGGTCCTGTTTATAGTGGATGAGAAAAGGCAGGGTCTCTGTTATCAAGCAGTGAAAAACTTAATGGTTCCTGGTGGTCAGGAACTTTTCCTCCACAAAGCGCACTGGTGCCTGGCATTTTCTGTGTGGCTCAATGGTGAAGAACCCGCCCGCCAATGCAGGAGACATGGGTTCCATCCCTGGGTCAGAAAGATCCCCTGGAGAAGGAAATGGCAACCCACTCCAATATTGTTGCCTGCAGAATCCCATGGACAGAGGAGCCTGGTTGACTCCAGTCCATGGGATCATGAAGAATTGGTCTCGATTTAGTGACTAAACAACAACTACCACCTGGTGTGTGTAGGGTGTGCCAACTCTTCCAGGGGAGCTGTTACATAACCTACACGTTTGACTAAAGTGAATTCACCTCCACACCCTCTTCACAAAGAACAGAGAAGGGAGGAACAATTTCCACTGTGCAGTGTTCCGTCCATCCACCCCACCCAGCGGGCTATGACAGTGTGACTTCCTACTCACATCTCGCTGCATTTGTGGGCATTAGGAGGGATTTTCCAAGAGCCATTTTAATTGTACAGCCTTTTCATCTTTGTGAAAATTTAGAACCCAGCTCCTTGAATAAGATGAGGCATCCACCACCAGAAGCCCCCAAATTCAAACTCTTACCCAAGAACGTTCAGAGGGCTTGAGTAGGGGGTGGCTCTCAAAATATATCTGGTGATCACATGAGTCTCAGTGTTCGTAAGCCACAGATAACTGGGTTCCATAGGATTTGAAATCACTTTTAGACTCCTTTACTGCTCTGGTCTGTTGTGAATGATAAGTCCAGCAAAATGTCTTGTGATATGTGGGTAAAATCCTCTCAGCAGAATTTGCCAGACAACTTTCACACCATTGAATCACTCTAGACTCCAAGGCAGTAACTCTGCCATCAACAACACATAGGGAAGGCTGAACTTGGTGGTTGATCTGTTTTGTGTGTGGTGGGCACTTGCTGTTCTACTTGCCCAGCGGCGCTTTTTAATTGGAATGATTTTTATTTGGTCTGACTTCCTGAAATAGAATCCTTTGCCAGCTAACTCCAAAAAATCTGTCAGGACAGAGAGCAAACTGTCCAGGGTTCTTGGCTCAGCGGTTTGGGGATGAGACACAGCTGGAAGTGAGGCAAGGTGCAGGATATTCAAATCTGATATTGAAACAGTCTGTGTGTGTTTAGGGAGTCACCACAACATTTGACTTGACATCCCCACCCAAACCCCAAATCCCAAACCCCAAACAGGTTCCACTCCAATAGCCAGACTCCAGTCCATGGTTTCCAAGCGTCTTTTGAATGGTTTATTTCTTCCTATTTACAAAGTGAGCTGTTTTTGAAGGGGACATCAGTTTTTATTCATGTCCCGGACCCTGACTGGGTCTTTGCTTCTTATTTGTCCTGCTTTTTTATTTAGGCCACAGAACACTTAGAGCCGGTAACTAGGGACCTGCGACAGGCACCATCACCTGATATGATGTATGCACAGTGATAGAAGAAGTGATCATAATATAAATAAAGCTCATCTAGCAGTGTTTTTGTGCAAGTTCCAAAACCACACACAAGCCTCACCCTTGGCATGTACTGATTTCCACTGAGGAAAAAGCGAAAGAGAAAAGGCTTGTTGGGAGCCTGATGTTGGCGCATAGAACTTAGCAAATGCTGTGTGACTTGTGTGCACAGTAGAATTCTTTTCAGAGGGAGGATGACGAGGAAGCCACATGGTTTCTGCAAATTAAGGCATTTGATGCGCAGCTCTCAGTGTGATTTTTCTGTCTTCATTAGACCCACTTTGGATTTCTTGCCTTAGTTTCTTTTGGTGGACCATTTTCCTTCATTGTAATTTCACTACTTAATTACCCCAGCCTCAGTCTTCTGAGGCAGCATGCCTGGGAGATCAAGTTTGTTTTTGTTTTTTTTTTCCCATTTATTTTTATTAGTTGGAGGCTCATTACTTTACAATCGAGTTTGTTTTTGAAGTCTATCACATTTCCTCCTTTCATTCCTCACCTCTTCTTCCTTTCCTCTTCACCCCTCCCACAAAACCTCTGAAACATTAACCACCCCCACATGGCACTCCTTTCGTAATCCACCCAAGCCTGTCATTTTTCTTTTTTCAGTTTCTAATTATTTTCTGCTCTGTGCCAGCGGTCAGCAAACTTTGTTCTGTAAAGGACCACAGTGAATAGTTTCAGCGTTGTGGGCCACGCTGTCTGTGTTGCAACTGCTCCAGTCTGCAATTGTGTCATCAAAGGAGTCATCAGCAGTGCATATCTCCACTCCAGAAGAATCATCATGTGTCTGAGAAACATCAGTCATCTTCTTTCACAAAATACACTGCTTCAGCTATGCCACGGAGTGAATTTGTGCTGTCCAAATTGACATGTTGAAGCCCTCACCCCTAATTTGATGGTACTTGGTGACAGCCTGTGGTAGATAATTTCATTTAGGTGAGGTCAGCAGGGTGGAGTGCCCAAGAGAGGGTTATTGTTCTTATAAAAAGAGACACTAGGAAGTTCTTTCTCCACGTCTCTCTTTCTGCTTCATAAGGACATAGTGAGAAGGCAACCGTCTGCAATCTGGGAGAAGGGCTGTCACCAGAACTGTATCACCTGGTGCCTTGATCTTAGAATTCCTAGCCTCCAGGACTGTGACAAATGTATGTCTCTTCTGCAAGCCACCAAGGGCCTGACATTCTGTTATAGCAGCCTGAGCAGACTAAGACAACCTTCAAAGCAAAAGAAAACAAAACTGCCACCCCCCCAAAACAGCCCTTGGGCTCATAGCTAATGGCACTGCTGATCCTTGCCTTCTAGGGTTTGTGTACCTATGTAATCCCTACTCTTGGGGTATGAGTGCACCTAGCAGCTTCCTTCTAACCAATAGAATAGAACAAAGGGTGATGAAACAGTCTTCATGCTTATGTCATGTAAGGTCATAATGTCCATCTTGCTAACAGATCGTCTCCTTTGCTGGCTTTGACAAAGCATGTCTCATGTGGTGAACGATGCTACAGTAAGGCCCACGTGGCAGGTAACTGACGGTGGCCTCTAGCTGGCAGCAAGCAGGGAACTGAGGTCTCTGTCTGAAAGCCTTCCAGGAACTGGGTCCCATCATCAACCATGTGAGTTTGAAAGTGGATCTTTTCCCAGTCGAGCATTTAGTTGAGACACTTGTCACGGCCAAAACCTTAATTGCAATCTTACAGAGAACCCCACTAAAGCATTTCCACACTTCTTATGGCAGAA